ACCGAAAGCCTCGTTACAAAAAGACTTATTACAAACCGCAGGGATGGAACAAAAACTTCCACAGGCGGGACATCTCATTGCACCGGCTAATTAAGCCTACACGGCTCCTCCGTTCAAGAGGAAACTGGTGCAGCATTTCCTCTGTCTATCGTCCAGTCTGTGCTGTGCGAGACTCTCACCCGCCTTTCTCTGGCCCATATTCCAAAGACAACTGCACCTCACAGAAGTTTCCCAGACACTCGATAGCAGTGGCTAGTGAGATACAGACACACAAGCCAGATAACTGTATCTGTAATCAACACCTGGAGAAAAGACAAATCAGGGTAAATCTACCATCCCCTTTAGCACCCAAATAGCGCTGGCACCCAAATAGCGCTGGCGTAACCAGAAGAATGAAGACTTTCCACATTTTCCGATCTTTGCCAAGAACATCAGAAGAAAAACCCAGCTCTCCTTGAACATTTCCACTCACATATTTTTTCCACCTAGGTACCGTTTTACAGCAGGCAAACCAATGGCACAGGCTGAGCATAAACACATTGAGACGGAGATTAGAAGGCTGCTAACCACCAAGAACAGGGAGGGTGGCTTTACAGCAGAATGTACAGGGTAGAGAACCTGGCTAATTTTAAGCTAGAGCTCAGTTACTTAGGGTTGCGTGACAGGCTGTCCATCCCGCTGTACAGACCTTCACCCCGCAGACAACGATTTCAACTATGTTCTCATGGGAAGATTTCCAAGGGCCGGTGGCTTTCCACTTCTCTGGGTGAGAACTGGGGAAAATGACTGGTTTTCTGGGTCCTAAAATGAGAGCTGCTAATCCATTTCATATTCAGAAGTATTTGTCCTCTTCCCAAGATGGTAAATAACATTTGCAAACTTAAAAGGTTGTTACTGAAAAACGCTGGCACTGGGGACAGTCCAGTAGAATTACAGGATGTAATGTTTTGCAGCCTTACCTTCGGTCCTGGGTGGCCCGGAAGACCCTGTATTTGGGACGAGAGACAAAATATGATTAATGTTTAAGAACATTAATCCAGGTATCCCAGTTCACTGTGCAGCATAGAGCTTTCTCTTTCTGACACACTGAGGGCACGAATGCTTAGCCCAGCAGCCCTTTATTTGCGTAAAGGGCACTTCATGTACTGTTCTCATCTGGTAATGAGGAGGCTCTCGCCAAGAACAACCCGGCAGTGGGCCAGGCTTGCTATTAAGACCATTTTTGCATTGATCCCTTTAATCCCATCCATCCCCTCTTGCTACTGTCTTCCCTTTCATCTCAGACTAACATAACCTTCTCTCCTTACCTACCCAGCCCATCGTAGCTCTGACCTACCCTGGGGGATGGTTTGGTGCAATGTTTCTGGCTCTTTTCTCCGCCCAGAATCCTCCCCAGCCACTTCCCATTCTATCTTCATTCCCAGTGCCTTGCTCCTCAGGCGAATCCTTTAAGACTTACCGGAGGTCCTGGTGGGCCTTGGGGTCCAGGGGGGCCAGATAACTAGAAAGCAACACAAGAGAAGTGACTGTCATAATCTGCTGCCCTCAGAGGTGAAGGAGAACTGCTCAGAGGGAAGGCAGGGCACAGGGTACAGCTGAGCTCTACTGGGCTTGGAAACCTGGACTCCCCCTAAGGACTGCGTTAGGAAGTGGCAGCAATCCAGGAGAGAGTGGCTGAGAAGCAGCAGTTGCAGAGATTTAGGAGGGAGGAAAGCAGTGATTTATGTTTTTTTGCAGAAAGAGGTCCCCTTGCACTACGCTACCACTGTTCCTGCAAGGAGGCACAAGGTCAACAGCTAGCAGATGGTTGGAAGGGTAGGAAAGAAGGTGGCTGGCTCCACACACGCAGAAGAGTGTATTGATAGCCTGTGGCACTCCTTGCTGCAGGGCGCTACAAAAGCTAGGAGTGAGTTCTGAGGGAGAATGGACAATTTCATGAACCACAAATCTATTGAAATATATATATATATATATATGCAGATAGATGCAGGTATTGTTCAGGAAGTCCCTTCACTGCAAAAGCTGAAGAAAATATTTGTTATGCTTTACAGGATCCTCTGTTCTTCCCCGAGGCATTCGTTATTGATTGCTTGTGTGAGCTAGATTGTTCTTGGGTAAAGGTAAAGCATCAGGAGCTAGAGCTGGTGGCAATGCAGTCCCACAAGATGAGGCTTGCTGTCCTCAACGAAGAGTGTGTTGTAAGAGGGTGGGATGCACTGGTTTCCAGCAGCACTGCTGCTAAATCATCCCTCCCCTACCTCTGAGATTGCAGAACGAAAATGAGAAAGGTGACCTACCGATTCTCCTGGATTTCCTTTGTCTCCACGCTCCCCGGGCTCGCCCTTCTCTCCCTGCACACAACAACAGACCCTGTCACCACCAGCTGCGCGCTGGACTCTCGCTCCATCAGGAGCCCTCTGTGAATGACCCATATGCTGAGAAGCAGCAGTTCCCCGAGGGAGGAGTAGGAACACATCGTGTATTTCACAAACAGCTCACCTGCGGCTCTCCTGCATCTCTGCTTCCAGAGGAGACACCCTACAAAGAGGGAGGCCTCCGGGAGCGGTATCTCGTGGCCATGCAAGGGGAGTGCCACAGGACCTCGCTTGCCTTTCCCTAGCAGTGGCCCGATGCCTCTCTGCTGTGCCACAGGACCTCGCTTGCCTTTCCCTAGCAGTGGCCCGATGCCTCTCTGCTGTGCCACAGGACCTCGCTTGCCTTTCCCTAGCAGTGGCCCGATGCCTCTCTGCTGTGCCACAGGACCTCGCTTACCTTTCCCTAGCAGTGGCCCGATGCCTCTCTGCTGCGCCACAGGACCTCGCTTGCCTTTCCCTAGCAGTGGCCCGATGCCTCTCTGCTGTGCCACAGGACCTCGCTTGCCTTTCCCTAGCAGTGGCCCGATGCCTCTCTGCTGTGCCACAGGACCTCGCTTGCCTTTCCCTAGCAGTGGCCTGGTGCCTCACTGCTGTGCCACAGGACCTCGCTTGCCTTTCCCTAGCAGTGGCCCGATGCCTCTCTGCTGCGCCACAGGACCTCGCTTGCCTTTCCCTAGCAGTGGCCCGATGCCTCTCTGCTGTGCCACAGCCTCTAAGGGAGGTGAGCACGGCAAGCGGGTTGGCAGCAGCGCCGCACTGCCAGCAAACTCATCTGACTTAGCCACACAGGCTCTGTGGGCAGCTGTGAAAGCCACCACCTCCAGACGGCAACGAGAGCAGATACCCAGCTGGCCCCTGCCTGCTGCTGCAGACCTGACCTGATGGGTACACCCAAACACCTAACTCTACGGGGTAGGAGTCTGCAGCTCCCGAGATACTGGGCGCTTTGGGAAAAGAACCCTTGTGTGTTGCTCTATGTTGTTTTCCCTTTGCCAAGCGGGAAAGAGCAGCCTGTCTTTTTCACTCTTACTGTCAATCCTGGAAGTCCAATGGGACCCGGCAATCCTGACGGTCCTGGCATCCCTTGGTCACCTCGTTCACCTTTCTCTCCAGTGGGCCCATCAAGACCCTACGGATCAAGAAAGATTTGTGGATTTTTTGCAAGACTAATTCAGGCAGACATGAGAAACATCATTGCAAGAGCTAAGACTGGCTCCTGTCATCCCAAGAACACACTGGAAACCCCAGACAACCATCAGATGCCCAGGGAAACGCAGGGCTTCACTAGTATTGAAACTGAATGTGCAAATACCTGAACACCTTCCTGCCATCGTGGATGTGCCAGCCCCCAGAGCAGGGATGGGGGACTGCTTTCCTGCCTCCACGTTCTGCTCATGGTTATGTAGTTTGCTGCAGTCCGTGCTAGAAATCACTCCCCAATAGCTAGCTGTTGTGCCAGCAAGAGTTTTATCCTAGTAATCTTGCAGAGACGCAGAAGCTTGTTGCATAAAATCCTCTCAACTAGTGCTGGGGACACAGAGGTTGTGACAGGCTGAAGCTGGGAGACTGGGCAGACGCTCTGCCCCAGTTAGTGGCAGGGGTGTAAGGGGTTACCCCATGCAATTGCCCGCCTAGGAGGGGGGGTGTGCTGGTACCTCAGCTGCCTTGCTCACAGTCAGGCCTGCTTGCTCACAGCAGCCTTTCATTTTCAGCAGCGTGCCAGGTAGCAAGCTGAGGAAACGACACAGTGCCCAGAGAGCAGGGCAAGCAGCTGGGGACAAGCCACTCCAGCAAGATGGACAACACATCAGCCAGGGAGCCAAGACCTCGCTTCTGTATCGGTCCACTTCATACAGCAGCGATGAGGTGCCTCCAGCACCCACCTCCGAGGGGCTCCGAGATACCCAAGAGGTCCCAGGGCCTTGCCCCATAACCTGGGTAGCCAGCAGTGCTCCGAGCAGCTTCCATTTACTCACCGGTGAGCCGGCTTGTCCTGGCTCTCCTTTATCGCCCTTTTCTCCTGAGACCCCAATACGGCCCGGCTCTCCCTTTATTCCAGGTGGTCCATCCTTTCCCGGCAGTCCATGAGGGCCAGGGGGGCCCATTTCTCCAGGCTTGCCGCGTGGTCCCTAAAAGAAATCCACACAGCACAAAGTGAAACATTTGCAAATAAGAGTAAGGTTACTCCTGCAGAGCCACTCCCTGGCCCGGAGCCCCTTTCACTGTTCATCCTCTCACTCACAGTAATGCCATTTCAGGAGTCATGGGCAGGACAAAGTAGATTTGCCGTGCCATGCCAGCCACTCCTTATAAGTTAGGACTTTGATAAACCATTAGTGCTCATTTCTGTAACGCAGAATACTTTTTTTCCCCGGGGGAAAAGCAACTGTGCGATGTCAGTGGCAGAGGTGGACCATACTAACTCCAGATAAGACCGCT